TATTTCGCCATAGGAATGCATCTCAACAGTCTTAACATTTTGCATCAGACTGTAACTGTGGATAGAGAACACGAATGAATTGGGTGATGGGACTGCTAAAGGTTGCGGCCTCCTCGTCAATGCTGCTAGCAAAAAGTCCCAGGTGCCGGCATGCTTGTGTGTCATGAGAGTCATGACAAGCATGTCCGTCCCGATCACCGGACTTTTTCTACTGCTACAGCGGTTCCAGTTCTGAGTCGCGAATGGCTTAATTCTGCTCTACAATGTATTGAGCTCGGATGCTGAAAGTTGGTAAGTGCGTGGACAGCTTCGATTTCTCCGGTGGCAACGAACTGATCCATTACGCGATGCAGGGTTAAGGTCCAACAGCATCATTGGACTCAATCGAGTATCATATGAGCTTGGAGAGTCTGCGTTCTTCAATTGCTGCAAGTGCATCGATTGCTTTGGCAATCCAGTGGGCGGAAGGAATTCTCTGTGATGGTCTGGCTCGCCATGAACAAGGAGAAGCGGATGACCTTGGATGAGATGAAGCAATTTCAAAAGTTATCGACAAAAACGCCAATATAGTGAGTATTCTAGAAAAACAACTTGCACAACACGATGCAATTTTCACTGGTCAAGTGATGAAACACCCAAAATGGATGATGTACAACTTGAAATGACATATCATATTGTGGATAGTATATAAAATTGAAGGGGTGAATTGTCCTCAAGTTCAAGATAGCACAATGTTAAAATCATTTCATTCGCCAGGAAAGAAGTACATGCTACAGGGCACGTATGTTCGACATGTATCTAATGCTCACGATAACACCAAGGTCCGAGTACTTTTGACACCACGCAGCTGACATGCCAATTTCAACTCACAATTGTACATTTCCCACGGTTGGTTTCAGATGCAGCGAATTCATCGTGACTTGCAGTGCGTGCCTCAAGTGCGGGCAGCAAGCATCGAACTCGAGTCCCTATTCACTTGACGTCAAAAACAATAGTTCGAAAAAGAGACATACCCTTCGAAATTCGACGCATGCTTCGGCATATCGTCCCAAGCTGCACAGCGCATAGCCTTTTCGAAAATATGCCTGGGTGTCCACCACACACGGTGAGAGAACTTTGTGTGTTCACCTGTTTCGTACGGTTGTAAAATTCGGCTCCAAGCGTATCGCTTGCTCAGCATCTTCAAGGGACTCGCTGTAGTGTCCAAGCGCAGCATACAAAGTCGCCCGCCGCGACAGAATCACGGCCATGTTGCGGTTTGACTCGTAATTGAGCCGAATGAGCTTCGAGTACTTCTCCAGCATGGTCAAGATGTGGGTATGCTCGAGCTACAAGGTTCGGATGAGAGGCATGCATTCGACAAAGCGTGGGCATCACTTGGTGGGGCATGTACGTCGACAAATCGCGAAGTCTGAGGCCGATTCCCCTTCGACCCTACTTGCAAGTCAGGTCGGATTGTCGAAATCGTTGTCAACCATGTTGTGCACAAACGTGTCTACATATCTTGGAGTTTCGATGGCTGTCCCCGTCGGCTCCAACCGCAGCCCAGAAATGCCGTGGTAGACAATACCACCCTCCGTTTGAACGGAAAAAGTTCCGTCAATTTGGTACCTGTCGTCCTCCACCACGGTGACAAGGCATTTGTCGTGGGCATCTTTGTGCAAGACAAGTATCGCTGGGGTGCTTCGTGGCGAAGCGTGCAACACAGGTGTTTGGGGCAGACCTCCATAGAGGTACACCACTTCTCCTAGGATAAATGGCGGCAATGCTCTGATGCTGGATTGTGGCGGAATACACGCGAGCTTGGGTCGGTCCACGGGAAGTGAATGCATGTACACGACATCATGTAGCGGGCACCTCGCGGAGCTTGCGGTGGTTTCTGGATCCTTGGACGACAGGCTCCCTCCAGCCATAGCGTCGCTGCTACATCTGCACTTGATGAATGTGTTGCGTCGCGAATTCGTGTCAGGCAAGGCATTCAAGGCAGTGTTGAGCGACCCATTGCTGCCTTCACTTGCAATCCGCGAGAGTGTGGGTGTGCTTTGGGTAAGCTAAAATGTGTAAGCCACGCTCAGCTGTGCTGGCAGGTAGGGAAGCTGACGCACCGTCGACGGCATTCGCATCAGTCGCCGGGCACAAGGTGACGCGATAGGCGGACATGTGAAACGGCCACTTCCCAAATTAAACGCAAAATATCCTTTTTAACAGGAAATTGGGATTATCAGTAATAGCCAATCAGACAATTGAATGGAAACCTTCGAGTTTTGATTGGCTACTTTTTGCCGCGAACTGCCACATCGCCTCACGGACAGACATGGAAGGAGGTTGGAGTAGGTCGCCTCTGGAGACCAAGGATGAGAAACTCAACATGAGTGCGTCGGACGTGTACAGAGAATTGCCGTATCACCTTCCACGAGGCGTCTCTCAAGATGGCGTGCCATTGGTGGTGGCATCGTTCGACGAATCGATCGCGTCCTTGTCCCCGGCAAATGAAGATGATGAAACGCAAATGCAGGAAAGCTCTGGCGCCAATTGGGACAAGACACAGAACCTCGAGTCCGTTGATCCACCGCGTCAACAGACGCGTGACGATACTGAGGATGTCTCAGACGCGGAAACCCATATCTTCAGCGATGATGACATGGAACTGACACAGATCATCGCCGATGACGACATTGACGGCTGCGACGTAAGCGTGAATCGTCAAGAGTCGTTGCATCGTGCATGCCATGATTCAAGGAATGTCGAAACCGAAGGCACAGTGCTGCTGTTGTCACCATCAGGCCCAGGTGGGGTTGGCTCAACTGCAGTTGTCAAAGGCGACTCCATTGCAAACTACGATGCAACTCAACACATCTTTGAGCCTTCTGCTGAAGTACCGTCATCGGGAAATGCAGAACTACTGTTTTTGGTCCATCACGACAAGCAAGATATCGGCGCCAACAGTATTGCATCGTCCACCACAACGTTGTCGTCTATGCCAGCCGCTCCAGTCTCCACATGCGACAACGATCTAGAGCCTTCAGGGGTGACATATGTCCCTCAGAGTCTGCATAAATCAGCGGTAGACTCTATCGTGCGAGAAACACCCAGCTCGACAACTGGTGTGGTCACGACCTCGACGTCGACCCCGCTGCATTCCTTACCACGTGAACCAGTCTTTGAAACAGAAAGCTCTTCGATGTCCATCGACCAAGCCACCGCCGATCCACTACCTACTGCGATGTACTTGCACCGGCGGGAAAAAGACACGCCATCCGCCATGGAATTCCATTCTCCCGTCGAGAAACTCCCTGTGGTTGCCGCCTCATTTGACTTTGACGAGCAGTCGGAATCATCGCAATCCCAGTCAGCGTCGAAAAAAAGACCGTTTGCGTACCTGGACCATGACCATTCGCAGTCGCAACAGGACTCTCAAGCCAGTCCACCCGACTTGCATAGACTCGCAGCCACGACGCTGCATGCGGCGATGCACGTGCAGGGATATACCTCTCCGTGGACTCGGCAGCTGGAAGACCTTGACCAGAAGGGCGCCAAGATGTCATTTGTTACCCCGCCCAAGCCGCCAAGGTCGTCGAGATCAACACCAATGACGACTTCATCGCCGTTGGCCTCAGAAACGAGAAACGTCAAGCGAAAAGCGCCTGCCAAGGACCATTCGCCAATTCCGCCGCGAACTGCTTACGCCACACGCGTCAAATGCTTCACCGACTTGCACTTTTACCTGAGCGGGTTTCAGGACGTTGCGAGCGGCCAGCTGGTCAGTCAAATCACGTCGTATGGTGGCAAGATTGTCAAGGACATTAGTCAAATGAAAAAAGTCCAAGGTGCGAATAAATCATAAGCTTGTCACCAAACTCACTGTTGTGGTACGTGCCTAGATCGGTGCTATGTGGTCGCGACGGCCGAAGCTAGTCGGCGGCCAAAGACTTTGTACGCCATGGCGTGCGGCATTCCGATCGTGCATCCCGACTGGCTCGCGGCATGCTTCCAATCGCGCGTACTTGTGGATGTCACCGGGTAAGAATTTACATCGTGTTCCACGGCCGTGGCTCATGGAAGCGGCTCGGTGCAAAGATACTGGATTCCGTCGGGGTTTTCGTGGATTACACGGCGCAGCATTGTCCACATTCCACGGCAGCAAGTACGTTCGAGTGTTTCATTTCCTAGTTACGGTCACATGGATGGTGTGGCGTAGCAAACGATATTTCATGGCTTGCGCTTTGGGATCCCATACGACACACCCAACAAAAAGCGCAAAGAATACCAGCGATCCATTGCGTCCATCATGAAGTTTCCTCTCGAGCATTGCGGCGCTGTGTTTGTGAAAATGGTGCCGAGTCCTATAAGGAGCTTGTCTGTCCGACTCATGGCGAGGATGTATGTAGAATATTGCAAGGAAAGCGATCGAAGACGGCACTGTCGACATACTCTTGACGAACGAAATCACCCCAGTAAGGACACCCCACAGCGACCTGATGGAGGCAGCGACCGTCATGATCAAGTAGTTGTGCGAGCTCGCCCAAGACCATAGCATTCCGTCCGTGCGGTTCTTATGGGTCAATGAATGCCTGATTCACCAGGTGACATGCCAATTTGCATTATCCGCAGCCGTGTTTCCATGCCTTATGTGTGTTGATTTAGAAATTGGTGGACACGAGCGAGCCGAATTTAGTCCCCGACACGTATGGTAGCAATGGGACGTTGAATTCCCGCGTGATGGAAGTAATCTTGCCCACCGAAGCGTACGGAATATCCATACCACGTTCAATATGATGGTCGCTAACGTTGTTCTGTCGTGAAGAAAGCTCCGGCTGTGCTTAGGCGAAATGGTGTTTGTCGATTTGGACAATCGACCACACGATTTGCTGTACCACGTTTGCCAAGTCGTGCGCCTTGACGAAGCCGACGACGGCGCCGTGTCGATTCAAGTCCAGGTTTATCGAAGGTACGGACGACTCCAGCACAATCCCATGTTTCATGGCATCCTTTGTGATGCAGAAACATCCAGTCGGGCCATGTGCGAAGTCAAGAACTCACGCCGACGCGGCAAGTCCTCAAGATCGAACCAACTCAAGTCAAGCGAAAGGCGTCGCTCTTGTCGTACGACGACTACCAGCGGCTCACGTACATGGACAGCAGTTTGTTTTATATGCGACAAAACACTTAGAGGAACGGGAGGATTGTGATTTTGGTCGTGGCCGCTTGGTCTTGGGTGACTTGGCGCAGTCGACCGGGCACGAACAGGTGAAACCATTGCTAAGCAAAGCAACGACCGCAGTGTACATGTTTCGAGTTGCACATGGAGGCGTGGCAAGTATACCTTTGTCAAGGGATCCAACCCCACGGGTGTGAACAAGGACTGCCACCCAACGAGCCCCAAATGCACGACCCTGCCTGAGTAAAATGAACACATCGTAGCAGCGAGATGGAGATCGTACATCAGGCGATAGTAATCGGCAAACGTCCGAGCGAGAAAGACCCAATTCGACAGCAAGTCGCGCAGCCAGACCTCGGCTTGATCTACTTTTTGTGACACGATTGTACGTCAAGTGTTGGCGATACCGTTGGTTTTGAACACAAGGCACACGTCTCCCAAGGTCTTGGACGAGTCCAGAACCAGTGCCACTATTTAAGATACATCGTTCAATCAAGATCGAGGCATGTGAGGATCGTGTACAGTGTGTGCCGTCTGGAAAATCGGCTTCAACCTTTCGCATGTGTTGGAGAGAGTTCAAAGCGAAATGGCCGACCAAGTGATGCTTGGCCTTGACTTCAGTGTACCATTTCACAGATAGACCGTTCGACGCGCAAAGGAACGCGACGAGATCCTGGGGAAGCTTCTTTGGGGCATGCCGCTACATCAAATCGTGTCCATGAACGCATTGCAACCGCGATGTGCAATCCAACCTGTTCCCATAGCGCAATGTTGTGCAGCTGAATGCCAGGAGAAGGCTTGTACTCGACGTTCGACACAGCGGAGAGCGTCCCGAGGTACTCGAACACGTGCAGTGACATCGCATTCAACTCGTCCATGGCGCCAGCGGTGGCGTTTCGCACCGATCCAACAAAATGGAAAACTCGAATTTCCAAGTCGCGTTTGATTGGTCCGTGGTCGAAGCTACTACGTACTTCGATGTCACTCTGCATCTCTCAAGTCACTAATTCTAGTGACGTCAACCGACCAGGACGACTACATGATAGAGCACTGATCTTGGCCGGGCATGCCAGGCACTATTCGCAAAAGATAGGTCAAGATGCATTCCACTCGTGGAGGAGGGTGTTTACTTGGTGCTCCAGGCAGACCAGCCATCCCTGGAAACGCGCCAGGTCCCTATGACACGAGGATCACAGGTGAACAAAGGCGGTTCGTGGTCATACCATGTTCGGCATAATGGGCATCCCTTCGTCGTCGAATTGAAGTCCCGGCGCCAATTCCTTGACGATTTCGGAAGGTGGCTGACCGCACTCTTGCATCTACAACAACTCGGGCGTCACGACGGCACGGGAGAGTCGAGACATGAGTCGGCGGCATACTTCCTGCATGAGCTCCGACAACCTTGCGTAGTTGTCCGGTTCGTTTTCGTACACGGCGAGGATTTGCTGAAAGTACTGATATTGCTTCCCGTACCTACAACGCAGGGTTGGTCGAAGCGACGGATAGAATTGCCTCGGCGTACCGCTCGTAGTCTTCCTTGGACAGATGTGGTTCTTTTTCCGCGAGCCATGCAGGGTACTACAGGCCACTTGAGATGGCGAGCTCAATAAAACGCGATGGATGCACCTTTTCGCAGATCTGTTTCATCGGGTCGTACATGACATCGCGCGACAAGAGCTGCTGCATCATGCCGTCCACGAGTCCTTGAAAGTCGTTCTACGGACGCCAGTGGTTCATATCGCGCGTGTTGCCATTGCCATTTTATCGCCTTTGTCGAATAGCGAGGCACAGTAGGAAATGCTCGTACCTTCTCGCCCATTTGCTCAAACTGCTTCATCATTTCCTGCATCATTTCTTCACCCATTTCCTCGGCTTTATTGGTGTCCAGACCCTCCATGTCTTCTGCCGCTTTCGCCATGCTCTACTCCCGTAGTTCCATGACTCGTCCGTAATCGAGTGGCACGAGGTTCGTCACCTGTAACGTTCGTGCCACCCCCACGTCGACATCTGCAGCGGCGGGGTCTGTAGCTGACTTGGACTTTAAACTTCCCAACAACGATTCCAAGTTGTTCCCACTTGGTGTGTCAGGATTCATTTCACGAAACGCTTGTTCCAGCATGCTTTGGAACTCTGGATTTTGTGCATCTTCTAGGAACTTGGCCATACTCTATCGATGCATTAGATGAACCACGGCGATCGGCAGCATGGCATACTTCCTTGAGGTTGTCCATCTCGCGTTGTTGAGCAGTATCGACTTTGGCCTTGGCCTCTTGCACAGCATCCACTTCGTCATCTTCAAAGTCGTCCAATGCATCTACGAGGCAATGGCGTTTAGCACAATGCACTGCCGTCTGTATTTGCTCAGCACCGTCTAGAAGCGCATCCAAATCCACGTCATTCCCGGCCATAGCGCAGGAACTCGCTGAAAACAGTGAGAAATATTAAATGCTGAAGTAGAAATTCGATTGTGATCACGATAAAATATAACAGGATTTCGGATAACCGAGTTGACGAAACGAACACTTCAACATGGGACACAACGAACGGGTCGGCGACAAGGACGCGGCCACTTCGACGGGCAAGCGATGTCCTCCATCTAGACACCCATCGCTGAGAATGTACGACTATGGTGATCATAGCTCTGTGGTCAAGGGGGGCACTAATTTGGACGGTCGAGCGGATGATCACAACCATACAGTGACCAATCCACTGGCGCAGACTAACACACCGACCACTGTCTAACACCTACAAACGACACCACAGAAGGTGCATCCTGCGTTGATAGCAATGAGCGCGATCCTCTCCACGGGCCGCAACAGGTGCAGCTGTCGATCCGTGACGTTGTTGCGGTTTCGTCAATTGGCCACTTCGATTACTCTTTCGTCGGGTTCATGACGCAGAGAGTAAATCGCGTTTGTCCAAGTACAATGTGCACGTTGTCAGCAGAGTGAAAAGATCGTCCTGTCGGGTGTCAGAATATCCCAGCTCGACGGGCCTCCATCGCAATTACTTCTCTGGGACTGAATTAGCGCCAATGGTTTCACACAAGTGCCGTTGGCATTCCATGGCGCAGCTTAGTCCTCCTTGTCAGCGCGATCGTCCATTTCTTTTTGCGACTCCAGTTGGGCCTTCCACATGGATGCATATTTGCCATTCGCCTTCATCAAGTTGTCGTGGGTGCCGCTTTCCAACACAGAGCCTTTTCCGAGCACGATGATCTGAGATGCATGTCGAATCTACTCACAGATGCATCTAGTCCCGTGCATGATACAGGAAATTTACCGTCGACAAGCGGTGGGCAATCACAAGCATTGTGCGGTTGGTTTGCAGCCGCGTCAACGCTTGCTGGATCTCGGACTCGGTCACGGTGTCGAGAGCCGATGTAGCTTCGTCCAAAATGACAAACGGCGGGTTCTTCAACAGGGTGCGGGCAATGGCAACGCGTTGCTTTTCGCCGCCAGACAACTTGAGACCCCGCTCGCCCACCATCGTGTCCCATTTGAGCGGAAGTTGCATGATAAAGTCATAAATCTTAGCTTTCTTCGCCGCTTCGACCACCTACACGACGCCAAAGGAGTCCGTCAGCTCATCTAGCCAGCTCGGCTCGATATCAAAACCTGGTCAAACGAGCTCTCCATGTTGCCGTACTGAATGTTATACAGAACGGACTGATTGAAGAGCACCGTGTCTTGCGGAACGATCCCGATAGCTTTGCGAAGGGACTGTTGAGTCACCGCCGCCACGTCTTGGTTGTTGATCAAGATCTGCCAGAAACACGAAGGATTCAGTCGGAGGGGTCGACGGCGGCAGTTTTTACATGGCCCTTCGTCGTGTCGTAGAAGCGAAAGAGCAATCGCGACACAGTCGTCTTTCCCGCTCCCGTCTCCCCCACAATTGCCGTGGTCGTGCCTATTCGATTCAGTCCATCAAACGCCAGTGCGTCGTTGCGATCAAGCATGGTGATACCGGCAGGAATGACAAAATTTACATTTTTCAACCCGCTGCCTTCGACTTGATCGGGATAGTCGAACGAGACGTTCTGGAATTCCACCGTGATCCCGTTGCGGTGCGCTTCGTAGTCTAGCGACAGCTTCGGGGCGTTTGGTCGATCGACAATGTCAGGGTCCACGTTGAGGAGTTCGCTGAGCTTTTGCATGTCCACGATGGCCTGTTCATGACACAGAGCGTGCGTGGTCAGGTCGTTGTCGTCGGTAATCGATGGAATCGTACGTTGATCATCATGTTGTAGAGCGACCCGAGAAAGTACAGCGGCGAAAACAAGTTGTTCAAGTAGACGGAAATTGCAATGAACCCGCCAATGTCGACGCCGCGCCCGTCTTCTCGAATGACGTGGGGAATCGCGAGGGCCAAACACGCCAAGGACGTTGCTTGGATGACCGTGGACTGGCTGACGTTCAACACCGAGAGCGACGCTTGGACGGCAACGCTGTTGCTCTGGTACTTTTGAATCGACGACGAGTAGCTGTTGATCTCGTGGCGTTCGTTTGTAAAGTACTTGATCGTTTCAAAGTTAATGAGGGCGTCCGTGGCTACAAAAAGGGCGTCGTCCACGCTGCCCATCCATGTTGGTGGCCGTACCCTTGTCGTGGTACTCATTGTCGTGTTTGGTCGATTCCTGCCGGAACTTTTTGCGCCACAACGTCAGCATTATCGTCACATACGCGTACAAGACCAGGGCCAAAAACGCGACAAACGACAGACTCGCGAGTTGAAAGTGCGTGGCGAAGATGATCATGACCACAACCCTACGCAGAAGCTCGAATGAGGCGAGTTTGTCCAGGTGTGTGTGATGGGCTCACGCTTCCAAGATCGTCGGCAGCAAGTACAAAAACATGTACGACACAACGCTGTTGGCGGACTCGACGCCGCGGTCCATCGAACGAAGCACATCGCCCAATTTCTAGCTCCATGCCATTAAACGGACATGATGGGCAACACAAGTTACCTTTTTCAAATGCCAATCCAGTGACAACGAATGCAAGTGCTCGTACGTCATCGTGGCAATTTCGACATATGCTGTCTGCTTGACTTTAAGGTACACGACGCTCTTGAGCTCGTCCAAGACCCGGCAGGCCAGGATGCTGGCAGCGTACAGTGTCACTGCACGCAACGCGCCAGTGTAATCTTTCGCGATCAACGCGTTTGTGCTGCTCGCCATGAACATGGGTGCATACAAGTTGAGAACTTTGGATGTGGCGAGGAAACAGTAGGTGCTCATTGCACGAATGCGGTTGTTCAGGCCATGGGGCCAGAAGTACGGGCGCAGCACCATGAGCATCTTGACCAACGAAATACCATTTCCTTCCGACGAAGGCGACGTGGCAGCTTCGGCGGCAGACGTACTTTGCGATGCTTCAAGATCCTGGGTCAGCAAGGAATTGGCGAGCTCGGCGGCGCGGCGCTTTTGCTTCCAGTACGCTTGAATCAACAGGACGCCCTCGAGCACGGAAAACATGAGCGGCAAAATGTTGAACAAGTTAGCAGTTTGAACGCCTTGGGCTTCAACCTCTTGTTGAGTCATTCCGTCCAGTGTAAATGCGTCGTTTGCCAACACAACCAAGATTGTCATAATCACCAACAGACCCAACAGAACAGCATACGGTGAGAACACAGCAATCACGAGCACAATGGCCTTTGCAATCGTGAGCAGGATCGGGAGCTGCTCGTAGTGCCATGCAGGCAGCTCAGTTTCAATGAACCACACCAACGAGAGTTGAGGGATCTGGGACAACATCACGACCACGTCCACACCGACAATCACAAGGAGCGTGTTCGCCAGCCAGCCAAGCTTCGTTGTGGGGGTAGACCCTCCCTGACGCCACACATTCTTCTTCGTTGGAGTTAGCAGTGGCCGCTGCTCTCCTTTCGTCGCACTCATTTGCGCAGAAACCCAAAATTTGCTGACTCAGACGAAGAAATACAATTCGCCGATATTCGGCCACCCACCTTTTATCCGGATTCGAATGCCAACGATGGGCTTCGAAATGCCGTCCTCGAGCAGTCCGCGAGGCCTGGTGCACTCCCCTTCACGCAACTCCTCCATGCAACCGTCGCGTTGTGTTAGATGAGTTTGCGAAGCTGTTCTAGTGTCATAAACGTGATGATGGTCTGTGGCCCCAGGCGAATGTACGCCGGAGTCCACCCTTTGAACAGACCACGAAACCCTTCCCGACGAACTATCTTGACGAAACAATCCACTGCGCCAGAGTATTCCACTTCAGACGTCCCGCTGTGAGCCATGTTCATGAGCCGTGTCTTAATGACATCCATCGGCGCACACTATGCACGAGTCAGGATAATGGCATCATGTCGACGGCCTCACCGCAGTCGTGGCGACCAAGCCCGCGGCCATGCTTGCGATGAAATGAGTTGTAACGTTGTCGTGCAGGCCCACGCGATTCAGAAGGAACGATTTGAACACATCGTACGATGCAATTTGTCCAGATGTGAGGAGCATCGCGCGGATCATGTTGGGTCGAACGCCGCGCATGAGTGCTTCACGTCCTTCTTCCCTTGACACACGAATGAGACCATCGACAGCGTGCGCGTAGTTTCGGCGCTGAGATGTAGGGAGTCGGCCATCAGCTTGCATTCGGACGTTCACGACGTCGGCAGGGTTGCCACAGAATCCACCAACGGCACCACCAAACATGGACAATGCAACGTTTTCCACGAGCGGCAACGGCTCGCCGTTGTTGCGTCCGACAGCGACGTCCTTCAGGTACTGATACACGCCAAACCGAACGGTAGAATACGTACCTTCACGCATCAACCCGCCTGTGATGCCGCGGTAGAACCCACGGACGCCTTCGACTTGGACGATGGAGCGCACAGTGCCAACGAGAGAAAGGTGGAGTTCCTTGGACGTTTGAAGGCGTACCTTCAGTAGGTCCATGGGGTGGGTAAAGCAGGCAGCAGTCATGGCTGACACGCCGCCGAGGAGGTAGTGCACCGGTGGCTTCTGTTGGAGTGTCGTCATGAGGCGTGGTCGACACGAACTTTCAGTGCTGGGGTTGAAGGCTCCATCTCGCGTGATCTGATTGGTGGATGCGAAAAGTTGAGGTGAATTGATTGGACAAAATTCCAATAACGGACGACCAATTGATGCTTTCAAATCGAATTCCCACATCCACAGCAAGACCAGGCATCGATGCCGTTCAAGGCTCGGTCCAATGATCAGAACAAGGTCATCGTCGTCGGCATAGCCAAGAGCCTGGACGATGCCGGCCTCAGCGATATGTTTGGTCTATACGGCACTGTCGCGGAAGCCAAAGTGGTGCTGGACGAGAAGAAGCAGTCTCGTGGGTTTGGATTCGTCACGTATGCCAGTGCCGCCGCTAAGAACAAAGCCATCAAGCACATGAACAAGTCCACGGTCGACGGGCGTGTGCTGACTGTGCGCGACGTCATTCCCAAAGCAGATCGAGAAGGGCATGATTCCAAGAAGGAGGAGAAGCAGAAAGTCGGCGTGTGCTGGGCGTTTCAAAAAGGGATGTGCGACAAGGGCGACGCGTGCAAGTACCCGCACGAAGTCAAGGACGGGGATTACGGTTCGTGCTTTGAGTTTGTGCAATCTGGCAAATGCAAACGCGGCGACGAGTGTAAGTTTGCGCATACTGGCTCCAAAGCCAAGCAAGCCGACGAGTCCGCTTCCAAGGACGACCAGAAGGCTGTCGATCCCGACAAGCCTCGCGTGTGCTTTGGGTTTCAAACTGGGAAGTGCCACCGTGGGAAATCCTGCCTCTTTGTGCATGAACTGTTAGAGGACCAGGCGAAAGATCACCCTGTAGAATCTAAGAAGCGTAAGCGAGATGAAGACCCCAAACAGCAACTGGTGGCTCTCGTTGCGGCTGAAGAGAAGGCTTTTCAAGCGTACGAAGCGGCAAAGAAGGCGCGGCAGGATTTGGAGCGCCAGCTCGGTTTCGAGCCCAAGGAGACGCCGGTAAAGCCCTTAGCTGCTGAATCTGTGAATACAAAGGACGTAAATGGGGAAGTCAAGGGCAAGACCATCACAAAATCCTCGAAAATTGTGAAAACAGAACGTGTCAAATCCATCGCTGAAGCAAAAGCACCCAAGTCGGCAGAAAATGCGGCTCAAGGTGACTCGCCACGACTGAAAAAGGCCGACAAAACCAAGACCTCTGCAGTTGCCTCTCTCCGCGTTCCCAAAGTCGTTTCTGAACATGACAACGAAGATGACGATGATGAAGGCCCGCTGGTGACGATGCAAGCAACCTTCGATGATGACGACGACGATGGGGATGCCCTGTCTTTCGTCATTCAGAAAGCCATCAAGAACATGAAAAAAGTCGACGAGGAATTGGATGTGCCCCGAGCAGTTTCCCACACGCCTGGGAAGCCTGTCAAGTCGAGTGCCAAACCCACCAAGGTAGAAAAGTCTGTCCAATCGAGTGCCAAACCAGCCAAGGCGGAGAAGGCACCCAAACCTATCAAGTACGTTGTTCCTGTCCATGACGACGTGGACATGGGTGCTGCATTCGACGACGAGCCGCCAAAGAAGAAAACGAAGACAAACGGCGCATCCCGCCTCAAAGCTTCCGACCACAGACGACTTCGCCAGGAGAAGAAAAAAGCCGCACTGCAGCGTTTGAAAGAGAAGAAAGAGATTGAAGTGAATTAAGCATGATATAGACCATTCTAATATCAACATCCGAGGGCAACCTCAAAGCGTATAGATTTGGTGTAAGTGCGCTTGGTCTGTCGTGGTCAATACTTCAACTCGAAGAAAAGGAAAAAATCTCCCCGTCCGGGAATTGAACCCGGGTCACCCGCGTGACAGGCAGGTATACTGACCACTATACTAACGAGGATTTTATACCCTAAGCCATGCAATACAAGTTAGAGTCCTGATCAATGCTGACAGACCTTGCATATTCGTTGAGTGACTTGATTGGTCCATTCTTTGTCCAATCCAACTTGTTTCGTAAGATCGACTGTGAAACGTGTCAATTTTGAACCACATGCACCTCCTGACGTACGCGACCGACGCGCCAGATATCCAAGCGCTCACGTCGCTTCCAATTTGGCTGGTCAATCCCAAGACGCAGGTCGCAGTGAAGCTATCGCCATTTGAGCTTCCAATGTTCAACTTGACGGTGTACTCGTCAGCTGACGTTGCATCTGTCGGTAGCGTGCTGTCTGTGATGGGGCGGCTTCCCTCAGTGCTCGTCAACAAAATCCTCGACATGGCAGGTGTGCGTCTGCAGATTGAGACGGATACACATGAAGTCATGGAAGGATGGGCGCCGATGGAACGTGAATACGTCCGATTGATCGTTCCATTGAGCTTGTGCCATCACCAAGGCCTCGATCTCGGCGCCTGCCAAGCTCTGACCATTGAATGCGTATCGCATGACCAAGGTTGGGCCACGGATATGCCCGAGCTCAATTTCACGTACCTCGAATGCAACAGTTGGATTGAGTTCGAAGTGTTGAATGCTGATGGCGTACCAGTACTTCCTCGTACCGACATGTGCCGCAACGTTCGCGCCCATGCATCCTTTCGTCGGCACATGTTACACATCACTGACAGTGCCATTTTGGACCACGTCGCTCCAGGCTGCCATGTCATTGTGTACCTCAGGGCGTTAATTCCGGGCTGGAGCAACCACGCCAAGTACGGCCGTATCTGTGTGCAATATGCATGCACTTTCAACGAATCATTCATGGTGGTTGACTTGGATAAACCAGAGAGGAAATTTATTGAATGCGTTCCGTAGCCAATTTGAACTTTGGTTGATGCTGGAACAATGGCGCCCCTTGTGTACTATTCTTAGCCATCAAACGATGGCTTTCGCCGACGGAAAGGAGCGGGTTGTCCCTTCCGACGACCATGCGCGCAGTGTTGCCGACAAGTACAAAGCCATTTTGCAGCCACCTTCGGCTGACGCGCAGCCCCTCCATATTGAACGAGTGTGCATCACCCTCGTTTGCCTCTCTGACCTCCCGATCCTTGTGCAACAGGTTTTCAAGCGCATGCTGACACAACACAAGGTCGTCGACACCACATCCAAGTGGACCAACCGATTCGTCGCCAAATCTACGGAGATCGCTTTCCAGACGTGGAGCATTGCGTACTACTCGGCTTCAGCCAGAACATTAATGCTGTGCGTCGTGCTGGTCCACATGCTCGTGACAGCCGTCGACTTTTCGTTTTCGTGAGTCGGCCACAATTTATTCTTGCCCAGTTTGATTTGTGCCCCAGGTCATCCACCCAGGCATACTTTGCTACTTATGGGACCACAGAAGTCGCACAATGGGCGTACTTGGTGATTCTGGTCCCATTCTTCGGCTTGCGCCCACATCATGTCACATCCAAGGGATGGTTATGGTACTTGCAGCGATGGAAGGTACGACGCCACGACCGAACGTAACACTAAACCATTCGTCATAGTGGGTCATCTCCGTCGCGATGGTGATGCTCTGCACTGGCCTCATGGTTCGGACTGGGTGCATTTACCAAGTCAATCTTCACAGCCTGCACAGCAAGTACGAGCGGTGCCAACAAAAATGACAAGAATAGCTCTAACTTGTCGGGGGACAGGTACTTGCAAAGTGTGGACGCCCTGGCTGCAAACAATTTGTCCATGGCCCAAATGAGGTACCACCTGCACCACTACCAAACTGTGTTGACCGACTCATTCGTACTTTTGGCCACCAAGTGTGACTTCCGATGCACTGACAAAACTGGACGCTGCGTTCGCGACGACTTTGGGGAACTACGGTGACTTGGTCGTCGCAGTGGATACGATTCTCATCCTGGTCACGCAAGTAAGCACCCACGGCAATTCAATGACCCATGATCGTTCAGGTTGTTGTCTCCGCATCACATTGCGATTTGGTGCACACGATGTTGGCCTGGTGCGCACTCCTCTTGGCAATGATGATCAATTCTGCCTACTGGCACGTGATGCCCCACAAAGAGGTAGATTTCCCTGCACATGCACCCCTTTCACGTAGAACTTGATGGTGCTTACGTGGAAGGTGTAGGCATATGTCTATTTTTTAGTTGGTGGCATGCTGTGTTTCCAAATCACTCGCGAGTTGGATTTGTGCCACCGAACCAACTTTCTGCACTACTACAACGCGGAAAAGTCCGCAGAGCTGCTTCGCGATCAGCTCGACCACGTGCGTACCAACCGCGCGTCGAAATTTTAAAAAAGCTCTACGATATAGGCCCTGGAGTTGATCATCTACAATGACTGCAAAGCAGAAGAGAAGGAAGCGGTAGCCCAAGCGATTGATGAAAACGCCGAACTGTGCGCAAAATTGCAGGTTCGCTCGATGTCGACGGTTGGCTGACCAATTGTCTTATGCATGGTTAGCCCTACCGCATCCCCCTCGAGGAGCTGACGTTAAAACGAGTGATCGGTCAAGGGGCGTACGGCGAAGTGATATTAGCTGAGTTGTGTGGAACAGCCGTTGTGCTCAAGCGCATGCACCGGCACAAGATCACCCCCGCGGCAATTCGCGAATTCTCGGATGAAATCTTGCTCATGTGCCAGTTGCGGCACCCCAACATTGTGCAATTCATCGGCGCGAGCTGGAACACCTACTCGGTACGACAACATTCGTTTCCATTCTGGCTAAATCTGTCCAAGAACATTGGATTTGTGCTTGAATACGTTGGCCATGGGGATTTGTACTTGGTAATCCACGACAAACGCGTTGCAAAGTCGTGGTCGGACCCTCTTCACCGGATAGCTGTCGATTCGGCGCGTGGGATTTGCTACCTCCACAGCAAAAACATAATTCATCGGGATCTCAAGAGCTCCAATATCCTCATAAGCCCAACTTACACGGCGAAGGTAAATCCATTCAGCCACGATTGCCATGAACACAGTGATCTAGATTTGCGATTTGGGGATGAGTAAATCAATGGAAGAACTCAAAGCAAACGAAAAACAAGTGGGAACGCCGTTGTGGACAGCTCCGGAAGTCGTCACGGGCGGCCAATTTAGCCTCAAGTCGGATGTGTATGCATTTGGCATCATTTTGACCGAGTTGATCACGAGAAAGACGCCGTATGCCGAGAAAACCCAAACCATGTCAGCGTACAAGGTGAGATAAACACACGTCGATTTGGTTTGGACCTTCCTGTACATGCGCATAGATCATGCTTGAAGTGGCCGCGAGTGGACTGCGTCCAGCGCTGCCAACATGGCTTCCTGAAGAACTTCGGCATTTGGTGGTGGTGCGTCGTCCGGCTCGAAATCTAACTGACGTCTTGGTGATGGCTTGCAGTCTTGCTTGGATGTGTCACCGGACCACCGCCCGACGATGCTTCAGGTTCTGCAACAGCTGCAAACGGACGCGATCCATCAGTTGCAAGGAAGGGCCCTGTGGTCCAAAGTTCGAGGGCTTGGTAATATACCATTCTATGTTCACTCGCCTGTCACTTGAAAAGTAGTGTCCGAGCACGCACATCGTTCGACGAGGCTCTCGATGGAAATGATCCGAATGGCGAAATCGCAGATGGAACTGGAATCGTACTCCAAGCCTCGGGCCATCGATTCAGACGCCGACGATTCGGACAACAGCGACGACACTGGAGGATGGAGAGCCGGAGAAGCTAGTGGCGCCAAGGCTCACGTGCCCACCATCATTGAAACGACTGTAGTTGAAGAATGGTAATACAGCAACGGAAGAAATCCCTCGTATCATTACTTGGTCAAGTCTCGAAAGGCTTCAAACTGGTGGATTTGTGCTTGGAGCGCTGCAACGACGTTGGTTTGTTGAGTCGTTCGCTTCTCTCGCTCGTTGGCGTAGTGGCTTTGCAAGATCATACTGCGATGGGACCATTGCAGCGCTTCCTCCTTCAATTGCTTAATTTCGTCTTCAAGTCCTGCAATTTTGTCTTCGACTTCCTGGGTCCCCTCTTCGGCAAGGACAGTCTTACGTAATCCAAAGGACAAACTTGTTGACTTGCATGAGTTGCTTGACAAGACTCAGAGATGATCTACCTCGTGTTATACAGTGCTTGGTATACCGCTATGGTCATGCGTATTTCATCCCGGACGCGCATGAGCAAAAGACCACGCTCAGGGCACGCCAGGGTTACTTGTCGAATGATTTCATCTGACAAAGCAAGGAAGCGTAACCCGATGAACGACCGTGGTCTTCTTACCAAACAATTGCGCGTGCAGTCGCTCTCGATTTGCACAGATGCCCACTTGTTTTGCCTGCTCCTTGACCAAGTTGGACGCCAATGTTTCCTACCGTGTCGGTGGTAATGAGACCTCTATTTCGTGCGCACTGTACCTGGAGCTCCAACACTTCTGCCCGACTGCTAGGCTCCATGGACACGTTTTGCTGCCACTTTCCATTTTCATCTTTCCACTCTCTGCGTAACTTTTGTGACGATGGATTGAGTTGGGGAAAATACCTGGATGGAAGCATGGCCTTCAAGATTTCGGGCGACACCAATGACTGGCCCGTTGTGCCACGTGTAGTTTGTTGCTTGGACTCAGTCACTGCTCCGCGAGCAAAGGTATTTGTCTCCACGAGAAATGCACCGTCATGCTTGAGAAGCGTGAACGGAGCCGACGGCAACGTGCTCTCGATCATGCTGTTCGCTAGCGCCACGTAACGGTAAAGTGAAACTGTCCCACGTTTCAGGCACATTTTCAACAAAACTCTGAATTTTCTAACGTCGCCTTGCAGAGAAGCTGAACACTGACGAGCACCATCACCCAATAGAATCGCAAGAAACTTGTGATTGGATGAAAAATAAATATATTCCAGCAACTAATTCCCTCATAATATTGTGGTGGGAAAATATATTAGAATTCAGATGCAACAAGTTTGTCAAACTTGGAAAATGCCCCCAAGAACCCTATACTGATTTCCCCCCTCTCGCCGAACAGTTATCTACGAAAAAAGTGCAATAGGCTATAAGTTTTGATAGGTATTGAAAGTCAAAGAAATCGTTCACAGCCATTATTCACGAATATTATCATCCAAATTCGACAATCTACCACTGAATGCGGTAAGGGCGTTGTCCTTGATGCCAGTTCGAGCCCAACAGTCCGTCATAATAGACTGTGTCATTTACCGCCACGCTTCCTTGGCCTACCCCACTGCAATATCAAGAAGTACTTCTTACACCCGGTCTTGTCTTGTCTCCTTCGACCTCCGGCAGCGCGACCCTTTGTTCCTTCGTGCGCTTGGCCTTGTCGGCACGCAGGCTCGGTGTGCTGTAGCTCTTGAGAACGTGCGCTGCAATCGACGTCGATAGAGTTGACCCGAGACCAATTGTTTGAGTTGCCCATAAGGCCAGAACATAGTAGGATACATTAGGCTCCCTTAAATGCTTCGCATATACCTTTTCCACAAGAGTCGTCTGCAACTTCGTTTTGCTTGGCATGCCTCGTTTGATTTGCTGTACTCGTACGTAAATGCGTTCAAAAGTTTGAAAATCCTTCTGACATTCAATGTCATAAGTTTATAGAAATTATCAAATTTGCCATCAGGTGGGAAGCGATTGACCTTGCAACAAAAAGAAACAATGCGTATCTTCTACAATAGCCAGCCACAAGGGTCCGTGACATATCCCCAATGAGCCACGTGGGTCAATAAACTTTGGATACTTGATCCATTCCAGTACAGTTGGTCGCATCCTTAATGACCCTAGGGAAGCGAAGTCATGCAACATCGACAATAAGGCCATGCATCGCCGATCAAGTTTAAAATCACCAAAACATCCCAAGCTCGACGAACAACTGGCCAAGTGAGTGGACACTGCAAACACAAACAATATATGCATAACCGGGCCAATACTCAAGCAAAATGCGCTATGCCTAGCCATAAGCCTTGGCATACTGTAAGCCAGTTCAAAGCGTCGCAAGGTTGGCTACAAAAATTCCAAAGGCGCCACAACCTGTGGGTGCATCGTCTCCACGGAGAAGGTTCTTCGCTTGACCCTTTGGTTGCCAAGTCGGGTCGCGACGATTTGCTGCTCGAGTCAGAGACCTATGATACGAGCGACATTACAACATGGACGAGACGGGAATAATTTACAAGGCCCAGCCGAAGACATCAATGTCCAGTAAGCCCATATATGGTCTGAAGAAAGACAAGAGTAGAATCTCTGTCGCCCTGACATCCAACGCTGACGGGACACAAATGCTACCTCCATTCTCTATCGGTAAGTCCGAGAAACCTCGTTGTTTTGGTAGCCTCTCGGCGAGCGAGTTGAGCCTATATTATCGAAGCAATCGCAAGGCATAGATGACAATTGCGCTCTTCTTTGAGTGGATCATGCAACAGAATGAAGACATGAAGAGACAAAATCGAACAATTCTACTACTCCTGGACAATGCCTCCTCGCACCAAGTTGTTCGGGCCGACGTCAGCAACATTCGCGTGTTGATGCTGCCACCCAACACCACCTCTTCGCTGCAGCCCATGGACACCGGAATAATCGCCGTTCAAAGCATACTACAAGAAACGCCTACTTATCCATGCGATTCAAATTGTCGACAACATTACCTCAGGTGGTACCGTGACTGTCAAGCAAAGGAAGAATCCGTATGCCGGCGATGTGCTGCAGGCGACGCGTTGGGCAACAGAGGCGTAGGATGAAGCGTCACCATCAACAATTAGAAACTGCTGGCGTGTACAGGCATCCTACCTCAAAGGTCGCTGATGGCTGCTCTTGAGTCGCTCTTCCATGTCTGTGGGCTTTTTTGATGTCGTAGCTAGAACTTGAAAATTTGATATTTGTCCGATATCTTTGAATTTGATACCTTTATACTTGATGAATTACCCATCGTGCAAAAATCGAGGCATCACTGTATCAAGATTTGAAGAACATTCTGGAGACGCAGACGCGACAGTGCTTTGTTTGTGTGTTTGCTTGTCATTTGCGACAGTGCTTTGTTTGTGTGTTTGCTTGTCATTTTGCATGACAACGAATAAGGTACATGCGCTTCACTAATAATTGACGGGGAAGTCATTGTGTTTCTTTTACACACCACGCTCACGCAATGCACCACCTTAAGCAAGTGCAGTGGAAGGTGGGTCGCGATGCATGAACAATCCTTGCTACATCAGTACTAGGCTGTGGGTTCAACTTGCCTGGGGTAAAACTTGTGCTGCATCGAGTTGCGGCGTGTTCAACGTATCTGGTATTGGGAGAAAAGAATAATATGTATCAAGTATAGCCATGAAAACTAGTGCGGTTCTCAGTTGGGCGCTGGCGTTTGTGAGAGATATCACTGAGTGCATTGGAGACTTCGGCGAACGGTCGTACGCGATGACCAGTGCTGTAGAATCGCACTCCATGCAGTGGCTGATGGAAGTAGCATGGATTTGCTCTCACAGCATCAGGTATGTTTGTGACTTAAGAAATTTTGCTCTATTTCACTCGAGACTAAAGCATTCGGTCGGCAGTGAAATCCGACTGGGGTGACAACGTGTCTACGCTCAAGGCAAAGTTGAGCCATCGACACATGGAATGTCGCAATGGCTGCGGTCGCCTGAGTTGAGTGGAGATATCTTCGTTGTGAACGAACATATGCCCCCTCTGTTTGAAATCACTCACAGATTGCCGTCAGTGCCACAATTTGTGCACCAGCAAACCACTATGGCATCTTTACTTCGTGTGCTACATTCCATGCGCCAAACACGACGGAGCTGTACTCGAGTCCAGCATCTGACAATGTGACCACCTTTTGATTTGGATTTGGCACTTTTGGGTCAAGGAAAGAGCGTTCATGAAGTTTGCTGTCCGCAGCTGTTCACCTCAAAGCCCCGAAGCGGCGTTTACAATTGAAGCTACCGAGAAAAATCTGGCAAAGTGGCTCATTGCCTTGGAAGTCGAGCTGCAATATTTGGCGCCAAATACCATTGGAGAAGAGCTTGCAAGAATGGTGGCTGGGATGGAAGACCAATGACAATTTATGAATCATAAATCAGTTATTCGAGTCCCAAGCCAGTGCGCATGCACAAATGCTCCAAGCGTAACAAGAGCAACAGGAACAACAAGCGCAGTATCAGCAAGGGATGCAAGATACAATGTTACGACAAGCGGCGACGAGTGATGGATTAAAGATGCCACTCGAAACGAATCCTTCAAGAAACAGAACGGAGAAGGACTTAAATGATGCACACGAAGGGCACTTAAATGAGGATACTGATTTGTACATCCGCCGTGTTGAGACACACAATGCACAACAGAAACCTGCATGTTAATTTGCTGAATCCATCGCAGGATGCAGAATCCATCGAAGGATGTCTTAAAAGAACTGTTTCCAAGGCTTCCCTCAAAGTCATAAACACCTCCACTACAGCTCGGCGATGAAGTACGTGCGGTTATATCTCATGCCCATGTATGGTAAAGGTGGGACTGATGCCCTTCGCAACCACACGTTCATTCATCGCACATTGTAGCTGTCGTAGCCACTTGCTCGCCATGACACCATAAGCAACACGTTTTAAATTTTTTCGTCGGCATGCACGCAACGTATGTTGCAATTTGTCTTTGCTGGCGACGGCTAACGCCAATCACACGGTGTTGACGGAGTACACGGAGATGACGACGGGGAGATAGAATACCACGACCATCACGGCGTTGCCATGCATGTGTCCTTCCGCCAAGCTAGTCAACAAGCCAAGAGCATGGCTAATTAGGTCGGCCAACGTCTCGACCTCGGCAATGAGTTGGTGCAACGTTATGTCGGACGTGAGTAGAAAATCTACGACAGGGTGCAAACAAGCCCAAGGACTGGTCTAACAAGTCGGCGGGTTTTCGTCGCCGCCGTCGGTTGCGCAGCTTAGACGACGATAACACGATATCAGATCTGGGCTTGACGTTGCTAAGAGTGAGAAATCGAACTTTTCCACGAGCTGTAAGATCCTACCAACCACAGATATGCTGCATAGTTTTTACCAACCAGAAGACTGGAAACGATGGAGCTCCTTCCTTTGTGGTACGAGTGAAAATATCGTGAAATTTGTACTACGTAGTATTAAGCAACAATACGTCGACGTTGGGTTTTCCTGGAAAATATTATCGTTTTCCTCAACTTTTCCGGATTTTGAGGTACTGCTCTGGTCACAAGAGCTGTTCCATGTTTCGACTTGAATATGGTATACTGGCCTAGCTCGAAACGTCTTGAAGTTTGTATTGGTCTCCGATTTGCAATATTGGTCGACGATATATTTATTGTATTTTTATTCTGCAGTCGATCCTACTTGTTCTTGAGCAATACCCAGAATTTGCAAATGAGATTCCTCTCCAAGGCGACTTCCAAATGGAGAAGTGCACCTTCAATAGCGAACAAATTGCATTCGACATTGAATATGCCAAATTTGAAATGGTCGAATGCTTCTCGTTCAATGCAGGATCTCATTGATGCTGTAGGAGTAACCGCGTTTTATGAATTGCCGATAGGCACACTTTCTAAAACGATCATAACGCTGCAGAAAGTAATGCAGAAGTCAGTTGAAATGCTCGGAAGCAACAACGATAAACTTTCTCATATGAAAATACACTCTTGATACTACAGATTATGAATAGCGCAAAAAGCCACTGTCCAAGACATTGAAATCGGGACTGTTGGGAGGCTGGTTTTCTACTCGAATGCTTGTAGTTCCTTTTGGGCTAACAACTCGGTTGTCACGCAG